ACAAACCCGCCAAATATTTGGTGATTACAAATGGACTGGAATTACCCAAATCCTATATTATCCAGAGTGTAAAAATGATAAAAAGAAGAAAAGAAAGAACGGCGATAATACGGTAAAAATAAATGGTATTCATTTGCTGTGGTTTTATGAAAATTTACGTTTTTTATGCGTGTTTTATAAGTGTCTTAAGCCGCGTTTAGGAGTGTTTTATACAGTGCGCTTACCAAGCTACGGATACCCGCTAAAGCATGAGCGAGTTCAATCAATCTTGATAAAGTGGCGACAGGACTATAATGCAGTAGACATGTGATAAGTCAATGTTGGAGTGAATCACGTTGAAAGATCATTAATACGAATATGCGGCGGGGGTTGGAGGGAGAAAAAAACAACAATTAATAGGGATCGAAGCTTCGAAACTTTTGGATGCTTTGATTAACGAATTCCTTAATTTCGTATCCTTTCTGAAATACCGTATAGTTCCGAAAATAAGCACCTTCCCACAATCCTTCTTAAATGTGACTGTTTTATATTTTTATATTTACACACTGCATATTTGTATTACACCTCTAAAAATAAGCACCCTCTTATAGTTAAAGTGGGGTGCTTATTTCGGAACTATTACTATTACTATGGTAACAATTTCCGATTTCCATACTTTGTAGACAAATAGCCGATCACGATTAACAATTTTTAACATCTTTATATCAGGCTGACTTCCCTGCATCCCAATGCAACTCGATATTTTTAAAGTTCTAATTCATTCAAGAAGGGACGATATTCGATCATAGGTTCCTCATAAAGAATGATCTTAGATTCTGATTCTTTTTTAAGTTCATCAATTACCGTATAATTTCGACAATAAGCACCCCCTTTAGCAATAGGGGTGCTTATTTTTAGGAGGTCACAACTTCGTGCGTGTAATACAAATCACAGGCCTGTATGCAGCTGTATAAAATATAAACAGTTACATGACATATAGAAACATTTAGAAGGATTGGGGGAGGTGCTATTTTCGGAACTATACAGTATCACGACATTTCGGCTTTATATCGGCGCTTAATGTTTTCAGCACCAATTTCTCACTTACCCCTTCTCTGACTCCTTGATTCTGTTCCCAAGTTTGGATAATATCTTACACACAACAAGAATTATTCAATGTTATGTGACAAATACATTTGCCCGCCGTGGCTCTCGATATCGATATAAGAATTTTTCGATATAAAAGATTTTTGCTGGACCCGATTTAAAATCTCATAAACAAATAACTCTTGTCATGATAAATTTCCGATAGAAGAAAGGAATTTGTTGGGCCCGATCACTTTCTTATATCGAGAGCCACTTGTAATGACAATTTTTTTTCTATTCTAGTGTATACGATTATTTTTCAAACAAGACAAGACCATCTTATTATCTTATGTTTTTACCCACCTCAATAATTTCTGCGATTAACCAGTTGGCATTTTACTGGCAGTTTTAATAGACATGATCAATGGAGTTTCTTTGTTTCTTGGACTATGGCTACTTCTTTAATGACGTCGATCGAACCGCTTGATCGATGTACCCGAGCAAATGAGCGAAGAGGGTAAGTTAGAAAAGTGGTAAAACAGGTTGAAGCTCCCATTTGATTTTTTCAAGCGGGAAAAGTAATGATTCGCTTAGTTATGACCCAGTCGACCCCCGTCAAACGATATCACACATTACATCTTCACGCAAAGCCTCATTATATGTGCCTTTTTTTTTTTACTACGTCGAGACAAAGCTTGTAACTGAATTGCATTTTGACCAAGATAACTCATACTCTGGACATACTGTAAATGAGAAATTATTATTTAGTCACCCCAACTACACATAACGATTTTTACTTGTTACACAGACAATTTATAAAATTTCGAACGCGTAATGGCGGGAACTATATTCCAACTATATTCCTCTGGACAGCCCTTCAACATAAAGCTTTTTGGTATGCTGAACCTAATGTTCTGCTCTTATTCGCTAGTTGTGTTTGAGACTTACAAGATTCTCTAAACTTTAGACTCGGTAGTGATCTCTTACTTTGGAGATCAGATTAGACATTTCTAGGCTTTCTAACTGTGAAGGCCTTCTGGTCTACCTCCAATATGAGTGATGACTTGGCTTTAACACTGAAAAAACACACTATATGTTGATACTCAAAAATATCACCAAGAACAAAGCCGAAGTTGAGAAGAAGCGATAATCGCAATGTCGTCGAAATAATTGCCGAACAATTCTTTTGCTTCGTCACAAACGAATACACGCAAACTCTCAGACTCCTCCAAATGTGCCTAAATAAAGACCTCGAAACCTCAGACCCCTCCAACCCTTATTCAGTATTAGCACTTCCTATCCAAGAAATGGAATTTGGTATTTATATTATATGTTTTGTTTGTTAAGCTTAACATTTCATCTTGTCATTCTAATGAAGAATCTTGCTTATTATTATACTCGATAGATGGAACCTTTGCAAGAAGCAAAAACAATCCGCCAAGATAAATGGGACAACGTTTTACAGCCTCTCTCTTAGAAAAATATTTTGAGGGTAAGTCGGTGTTCGATGTAATAAATTTGGATACTCGGACGGAAAATTCAAGTAGCCCTGGAGGGGTGACGTTCCTCGTGTGGCATATGTCTGATTATTGTCATATACCGTTATAATCATTATAGAATCAAAAGTATTGGTTATGCTTCATCGACTGGCTTTAGATCTCGCCGCAGAGAACATTGACATACAATGGATCTTTTATGCAAGGTTGATTAAGCCATTTATGGATATACTATATCGTACATCTTCACAGTCAATGCGATATATTGAGTGATCTAGTAGTACTGTTTATTGTTATGTGGTTTCACTTTCAATAGTGGAGAGGGCATCACGGCATCGCAGCAAGCGTCGTTCTAATTAGAGATTTCTCTGACGGTAATAACGATACACGCCGGAATAGTAAGGAAGAACGTCGGGAGGAACGAACCGGTTATTCTGGCCGTTTATGACAATAAACTTCAGCCCGCCCAACAACTTGAATGCAACAAGGTGAAATGGTTGGATGGCATTGATAAGGTCCGAAATGATCTAATTAAAGTCGTTACGGCAGCACGCGATCAGTAATCCGCATCGTCGAGCAGTTACCAGACAATCTTGCACGCACGTGGAGTGAAGGCCTTGTTTGTTGTTGCTCTTCATGTTGTAGGGCTTTGAATTCATGCTCAGGTAATTCGTTCAAGCTCAGAACTGGTCTCGTACGGTACCAGGGAATGAACGAAAATAATAACTTATACTTAATTGCAGATTTTATTAGCTATTCTAATTGCAAGGATTTATAAGAACAAATAGAATCAAATATGCCAAAGATGTGCTGAAGATAATAGTTACTAATTATGACTGCTTATATATCTAACTTGATAACTATCCAATACAAATTCTTATTATTGTCGCTAAACATGTATGATCCGCTAATATGCATTAGAATCAACAACGAACGCAACCATACGATCAATCAAAACGACAACATGTATGTGTCATTAAAACACTATATGATTAGAAAGCATCCAGAATGTATTTATTTTACAACAATCGAATGATATAAATCGTTCTGTATTGTCAGGGATGAAGGATTTGCAACGTCAGACAAGGAAAATTCTCGGACACACTAGTCTGCGGCTGTGATGGCTGATGCTGAAATCGGCTGATTCTCGATAAGTCTTGGCCAGCAGCCGCACTCGAATAATCAAATGCTTGTATGAGTCTACAAACTCAGCAAGCATTTTTTTTCGTATGAATACTTTTTACGTATAGTCACGGAGGGGCAGTGTTGAAGGAGAAACATTCAGCCTACTATGGTTATTATGATTACTCATTTACTATGGTTATCATTAAGGAGGGTTCACTGTACAACGGTACCTGCCCCTCACCTGATTTATATTTAAACTTTAACCATGCTAATAATAGGTTGCTTCCGTTTATAGTTTTATTGAATTTGTATTATCTCCTAATGTTCAATAGGAACATGTTTATCTATCATTGTCATCAAAAAGCATATTGGAGAATGTTCGGCTAAATAATTCCGAAGGTACTGGAAATCCACCAATCCACAAATGACACCTATTGATGTTAATCTCCGAAAACCAAACTATAGGGTTGACCAATCATAATAGCCCATGTACGAATTCTGATAAGGAGTATTTCGATATACAAAAAAAGAAAAGTCTACTTACGATTCCCAATCGATACTTCCATATATTTCAGCTACAGAACGAGACCCTCGTTATGATCATTATCATTTTAAGTTAATTCTCACGCATGATCTTGGATATCCGTGTCAATCGTTTTGTTATCTGTCATAAATGATGCTTTTTTATGTAAGATCTGCCTATTATGCAACACTTTGTTAGTTAGCAGCGACACGCGATATGTCAAACGCACAAGAGGCGTTACAGTGATATCAAGATCCCTTAAAGGCCTGCCCATTCTCCTTTACTATCATCGTAGCCACGCTTTTTAACATGCAAATCTAAATTATTCATTCTTTATTAGGCATTATTAAACACACACAAATGCAAATATGCAATATGGTCTTTGCGATAATCTAAGAAGTCTAGCTTGTGCGAATATCGGGGGGGGGGGGGGGAAAGTGGAAAAAGTGAACGACAGTATTCATCTCATTTTGTCTGTTGCTCACTTGTCGTTTTTCCCTAATTACAGTAATTAGATGCCCTCCCCTTTCCCTTTCCACCCTTATTCCCCTATATTTCGACAGCTCATCGTGATGCAAGATGAAAAGATATGCAAAGAGAAAATAGAAAAAGGAAAGAAAAAAAAAAGATAATAAAACTATATTACAAGAAAGAATATTACAATTTGGCCATATTAGACCGGCCTGTAATACCCGATATACAGGCGGTAATAAGGGAAAATACCAAAAGAGGTATCTGCACAATAGATAATCCCCAACATATGGGCTATTGTTCATACGTCATTGTCAATCTCACATGTAGCCACTAACAGATCTCTTTGACGAAGGTCTCTTGACATCGAAAACGTTCCCTTTCATCCATAACCCGTCAATAAGCTCTATCTTATTCTTGGCAAGTGCGTCTCCACTCAGCTTGTCCAGTCCCTCAGCGCCCAACTTTTCGTTCAAAGCATCCTTTTCCCACATGTTCTTTTTCGATCCCCTGCGTTTGTGTGTAGATGAGTAACGCTTTTTGTTTGAGACGTAGTAGTTTGGCTCGAGTGGAGTTACATAGGTATGGTTTGGGCTTGGGCGTATATTGTTTATGTTGGAGTGTATGCTTGATGCGTCTTTTACGACGACATACGAGGGTGACCTCGACGAGGAATGCAAAGGCCCGAGGTTGGGATTTGCTTGAATGGGGAACAGAAAGGATAGCGGGGACAGAACGTATTTGTGCACGCTCCAGTAGAGAACGTCGAAAACTACTCCTCCGGAGAATTCCAAGACTAAGAATCCAAGACGTATACATATAATGACTAGAGCGAGGGCGGATGTGAACATGGCCACGGTGCTGAAAGACAAGGCCACCATGAGCAAGACAGGCGAGAGGAGGAGAAGGATGGGTGAGAGGATGAGTGCTGAAGTACGCAACATGATGTATGTATTATATAATATTATATGTAATTGAAAGTATTTGTAGAGGTATTTGTAGAGGTATTTGTAGAGCGGTTATAATATTATGCAGAAAAATTTTATGTTCATAAGAGTTGGATGGATATTCGATATTTTCACTGTTTTCCGACTGAAAGGGTAATAACCAATGATAGGTCGTACTAAATTCGAGTCTTTTTTTTCTTCTCTTTGGCTCAGAAGTTAGTTCTTTTATAGCAGGAAACGTTGGGGTTTTGATTACTACCTGTTTGATGGGGTATTGTTTGTGACGCTTCTTAATCGGGAAACAAGTGGAAATCACTCGCAGTGTGATGTATGATTGCATAATTTTTGCGAACACGGTTTTTTAATATGACACAGTGCATGATGTCATGTGGCTTTGTAGTCTTGGTAATCAGTTTAAAATGGATACTAACAATACGATGATGAATAAATAATTAAATAAGATAATATAAATAAATGAATAATATAAAATAAATTAAGATTCGGTATTTTAAACCCTGTCTGATCCATATTTTTCCTATCTCTGTTATTCATATTGGTTATATTAATTGGGTATGATGTGTAGCATGTGACCACCATCACATGAGACAAGTGGACCATTTGCAACCCCCCCCCCCACTCATTGATTATCAGCAGAACGACCAACTCTTCGAGAACGAAAGATTGATAACCCATGATCAAGATGGTCGTAAAACTCCGACATCTCAAGCCCGTCATTTGATGCAATAAGAATAATAATAGCATTAATAATAAACATCCATTTTTATCGACTAGACTGAATTTATCCTCATCCTGCATGTCTATCAATTTTGATCAACCAGCATCAGGTCCATACTTGGTTACCGACCATTGTATCCTCACGATAATCTACAGTGGGCGTTGAAATCATAGATAAGATAATAAATAGTGGAGAAAAATGGTAGTGGAAAAAAATTTTTTTTTTTTTTGTTGTTCCGCATCGTCTGTTTGTATTGCACCGCATATTATTTACTATATAGTATTACTCTTGTCCATTGATGCCGGGGATCCAGTTTGCACTAAACGATGATAAACTTTCTACAAAAAGGTTTTATTCTTCTTTGTGGTAATTCTTTTTTATTTTACGTTTAGTTTAGATTACGCTTTTGATAAAATTCGATGCCAATTTCTGCAACAGCTGCACCAAAGAACATCAGGAGATTTATTATTTATTTGGCGTTACCCAACAGTTGCGTATATTAATAACTAGGTTTTACAAGAAAGCCCAAATGTTTTCTTGTGCTTCGTGTCCAAATGCACGATCCCCATCATTCTTTGTGCAAGGCGACACCAACGAATGACATGTACGATACAATTAATTAATCTATTGGCAGTACGAGTTATGAAAGTTGATCGAGAGAGAGAAATAAGGAGAGAGAGAGCACTGAATAAATTAATTTATCCTGATTTGAAAAAGAGGATATTAAACGTACGAGAACGGTCGATATATTACGAAGAAATGCTTAGCGACAGTGAATAGTTCGGCTAGTACTAGTATATTTATAGACAACGGCTCGGCATGGCGCATATTCATCACCTGACTTTTATTTCAGATCTTTGTAACATAACCCCACTGTTACTGTAACTCTAAAAGAAAGAATTTTTTCTCCTTGCCTCTCGACAAAGTCGGACGCTTTTGGCTTTGTTTGACTTTTGAATTTGAAACCAAAAAGGGAACCGTTTTGGTGAAATAATTGGCCAAAAAGTTACTGTCCAAACTTGACGCCAACAATACATAATTTAATGTGGACAATGCCCAATTACAATAGAGAACCGCGAGACCCATACAAATAATCATCCGCAAAGTATTAAAAATAATCAATGTTATTAATTCTAATTTTTAAATACAAAACGCTCTAATTCCATCAATTATTTTCAATCACATTCTCGTCCAATAGTGTCATCAATGTTTTTAGCATGGTCCACCACATAAAATATCCAGTAACTCTTGAAGCGTCTAATGTTACAGACTCCCCAAAAAAACAAACGCCAATACATTCTGATTGAAGGATTATGTACAACAATTATTTAAATCGCGACACAGAAACGATCTGTGCTGCAATTCTCAAAGCAAACCAGCGATTTTGGATAGTCAATTCTCACAAAGCCCCCACCCCCAACACATTGCATTAATAACGAGGGAACTCTCTTATTTTTTGTACAATCGACACATGATTTGTGAAATGGGGGGAAAAAGTATTGTGGGGCAGCTTGCAATATATAAATCTTGTATAACAACCGAATCGAATTTAGATTAGGGATAATAAGTGCTACAGAGATAGTAGATTCTCTTCGAAATTTCACATAATCGTCAAAAAAGGCATAGAAGCAATTCGGCGATTTCGCTAACCAGCCTGCAGCTAGCCTTCTAAATAGTATCAAAAGTTAGAAATATTTACAATAACAAATGAAATAAACAAATATCAAACAATAGTCCCAACTATTCAATAGTAAACGGTATTATCGAGGTCATTCAAAGTCCACCAAATAAAAAGGTCTCTTTCAATTGTCCGTCTTTTCAACCATCTGGTAACCAAGCTTAATTTTCCCCTCTCGCATTCTAGTCGCTCACTCTTTCATAATAATCTCCATACTCGGCTCCGTCTCCATATCCATCGCTATAGTTACTTCCAATTGAATAGTCATCGAATGGCTCCTCCTTCATAGCAGCTGCCAGAAAATCTTCAATATCGTCTTCTTCTTCTCCTACGTCCTCTTCCATATTATTCGAACTTCCGTTCTCATCATCAATGGTATGACCCATTCCAAAGTCATCCGCTCTTCGTCTCTTTTTCTCATCCGTATAGCCGTCATTATTATCATTAAACTCGCTTTCGTCATCATCATCGAACTCACTAACTTCATCACTCTCGTTTCCTGCATCACTACCATACCCATCAGCTTCGCCGTCAGAATGAATACGCCTAGACAGCCGCTCCTCACCTATTTCATCAGAATAATGACGTCGACGTTTACGTACTGGGCCCATGAGTTTGCGAATAGATCTAGCAGAATTTCGAGAAGACTGTGAGAACGTGTGTGGTATGTGACGGCGCGAAGGTACAGGAGATGGCGGAGAGGATGAGGACGAGGACGAGGAGGATGACGGGGATGCTAACGTTACTGGATTACGGAGCGGAGAGTGTTTCATTCGTTTAGCAGGATACGCGCCTGAGGAATTGGGTGCCAGGTTAATTCCTTGTCGCTTTAGCCCCCTATTGGTTAATAAGATCGAAAGCACGAATAAGAAGTAAGTTGGCAAGTAATGAAATAGTAACGGCAATCATTTTGACACCATTATATTGTTGATCATTTTCCCCTTTTACATCGAGCCACGCATCTAACCTTACCTTTCATTTCCGCTTTCAGCTTCACTCTCAGCAGCACTTGTGTCCCCAGACTCTCCAACCTCATCAAAAACCTCCAGCATCACTTGTGACCAGTTTGTTTTCTTATACATTTCGAAAACTGTATCAAGCCCTACCCGAGGTCTCACAGACTCGTCAGTACCGGTAAGCACGCCTTCATCTTCTTCATCGGCGACGTTGGGGCGATCTGTTTCCGTATCATTGCCTTTGGATTCCGTATTGGGAACAGAGGGAAGGGAGGGAAGCGGGGAGGATGATGGAGATGAAGAACTGGACATGGTAAACGAAGGCGATGGTGGAGGGATAAGATAACGTTCTTCGGGTTGCCGACGCCAGGAGGAGAGCGAGTCGTATAGCCATTCCTTAGCGACTATCTTGACGTTTTTATATCGCCTTCTTGCTAACTTAACTTTATCTGTGCCGGGCTGAGAAATATAGATGGTATAGCATGCACGTTAGCGTATTTGACTAAGTAAACTGCTTATTCGAAGTAATTGCTGACCCATTAATTAATGAATTATTTAATGATAACAGCCGGTAGCTTGGCAGTTAATTAAAGGACCATTGGAATTGTCTATACGTATATTTTACTTACGTCTCCAGCCACAAGATGCGTAACCCCATCCCAATCTTCGGTACAAACAGCACCGAATGACTCTGCACGTCGCCATATGTCAGCACTATAGTGGAAATAGAAAACTTTTTAGTTGGATAAGCGAAAACAATAAATATTAAAGCATACGTTAATTTACCTTTGTTTTTCATTTAAAGTTGTTCGGATCAATCGAGTAAAGAGTATTTTCACATCTTTGAGTACTTGCGATCGCATTTCATTTAGTATGGCCTGTAAATGTTAATGACGTAATGTAACGTTTGACGTTTATACATAAGTATTCGCACTATAAACAATATTTATCATTTCTCATTTAATTCCTTTTGCGTATTCTCATACCTTAACATCAGCACTCTCGATCTGTTCTTGCTGTTTATCCTCTTCCGTCTCTGCGTCAAATATATCATAATACCTTTTATGCACCGTTTTCAACCTTTCCAAGATTATCCCTAATTCTTCATCATTGTCATTCAACACAGGACGTGCTGGTGCGCTATCTGTGATTTCATTGTTTCCATTCCCTTCATGTGCTTTATTTATTTGATCCTCTTTTCCTTTATTTTCTTGTTGCTGCTGCTCCGCTTGCTTCTTCTCTAGTTGAGCAAGCGGACGTGTTATAAATTGGTTTTCCAACTCGTGTTGAAATTCTTCCAATTGTTGTTGCTGCTCGAGTTCTTCGATGAGAATATCCGGTACTGATGAGGGAAATGATACAGTTGGGGTCGATATTGGAGTTGTAGTAGCAGAGGAGGAATAAGCGTCGGATAGGGAATTGGCCGATGAAACGGATGTGTCAATAGGGGGAATATCTATTTTGAGAGGTTGATTTGGGAGAGGCGGTGGTGATGGATGTCTGAGCTGTAAAAAATGGAGAGATGCGCGAAGTATTATGAATAAATGCTATTAATGCGAGAACGCGACGCTAACGAAAATTATTATATTCACTAACCTGTTTTGGGAAGAATGATGCGTTTATGTCTCCTACCCCTTGGAAAAATTCGTCTAATTAAAGCAGCAACGACAGTTAGATTTCAATAAAAATGCCAAGTCGTCTGAGCGATACAAGATAAATATAGTGGTGATATGGGAAAGGTTTAATACAGATATTACTTACACGGTCTAACTTGAATTAAATTAGGAACCCCTTTCCATACGTCGAATCGATCATCTATTACTACAACCATGGAATCATCACACGGAAACAGTCGCTTGATATTCTTTTCAATAATATCTGATTGAATAATTAGTTAAAAAGAGTGAATATGAGTGTGACCGAGATGAGATGTCTTTAATGTAGAATTTGAGCTACTTACTTCCTCCATTTTCATCTCTCGTTATTAATCGATCACCGAATATTTTCTTATCTGGATCAATTATATTAGCAACTGCCAACGCATAGTTACGAGTGCCCATTGTGTAGATGTGAAGTTCATATATTTTGCGTACTTCGTTCAGGAAATCCATTAATCCAGGTCTATAGGAAGAAATCGTGAGAATAAATCATTGAACGGTCAGACCTCAACCATGACAATAACGTCACGCATGCATACCTTAGTTTGACGTAATATAATACATTACAGTCAGGTAGTTGAATTTTATGAACATCCTGTCATGCAAACGTAAGATAAGACAATGATATCTGAGGCTGGCTTCTTTGCTATTCTCTTGAGCCATTCACTTACTTTACCTTTGTAGCCGCATGATTTACATTTTTCTCATCTTCCATCCATTCTCCAACTGTGGGATCCACCGTCGCGTGAATTATAGTCAAATCCAAGTCAACGACTAGAGATAGCTTTTTCTCTTTTTGTAATCTTTCCGCCGTCTCCATGTCCATACGCTGAGCCTCCTGATTATAGTATGACGTAACAAAAATATAGTAAGAACAAATAATATACATAGACTTTTCAATGTATGCGAACGCATACCGCACGCGTCACTGTGAGTCCAATCGCTGTATTCGCAAGTTCGATCGTCGCTCGCTGTGTGTCACTTGTTCCTGTGAAATCGATACTACAAATGTAAATTGACGAGCATATATTGATGTATGGTTGTATAAAGAGATAATAGAATTATCGATTATAGTAGTATATGTTATATATAAGAGTTTTGATTAGAAGATACATTCGAACGTACTCAGATAAAGATAAACAGTAACAGAAGAGCACTACTAAAGCACTAGCGATGTTAATGCACTAGTAAGGTAATAGTGTTTTGCCATAGCAAAAATAAAGCAGTATGTTCGGCTTTACCTTGTACAGTCCTTTCCACACACGGCGCATAGTCCGTGTATCTGCATTGGATGAGTGCAGGGTTCACGAATCCTACCTATTATTGATCTAGTGATAGATAATGGTTATTAGTCACATTAATACCAGAAAACACGGCGTAACGAATACTATGACTACGTGTACATTGAAAACCGGCTATTCCAGTTTCGAAGTTTCGGTCGAATTCAGAGTGTCACTCTGACAGGATCTCTTCTTTGCACCAATCAAGCAGACAACAAATCAGCCCAAACGTAGAATGCTCTTAAACTTACTCTTCAGAATAAATAACTTCACCCTCTTTGACCATTATCTGATCAACCACTCCTACAACTGGACTTTTCAATTCTTTCGTAAAGTTGGATACGATAGTCAACAGCCTCTCTGACCCATGCTCTTCATCATATTGTGGTTGATGAACTACTTCCTCATGTTCGTACGTACACAACGGTTGTGTCTTTTCTACCTCGGTGCCTGGTCTAACATGTATTCGTCGAATAGTAGCGGGCAAATGAGATCTGGGCAGACGTATTTCAAATAGACCTTCCATGGCCTTCCCTAACTTGGCTGAAATAAGGAATTAAAGAGCGGAAAGACAGTAATCAGAGTGTATTTAATAGGGCCCGTGGGTGTTTGACGTGAGAGCGGAATGTGAGAGGTGTGGAATGTGCGAAGACCGAATTTATACACTACCACAAAGGTTGTACTGTCGCACAAGCTTGACGATTGACGTAATCAGAGGTAGCATTCTATTGGACCGAACTGTTCGTGAAACTACTCCGCTTGAACACAAAATTGGGAGGACTAAAAATGGATATTTTTAACGAAACCGGACAGAGCGAACGGGGTTGTCACACTTGAGTTTGGGAATAACCCTGCTGCCATAATAAAATCATATCTTTTCCCAAGAGTAGCTAGCTTCTATCGTTGGGGAAGACAGAGTAAATACAGGATCCTCACATTGAATATCGCTTCTTTCTGCCAATATGCTCTCCAGATAACTGAACTTGACAGCAGAAAGTGGAAATCTATTACGAAAACAAATGTAGCAAAGATTCTCAAAGGTGCGTACAACTAGTTTTACTGACATTCATCAAGCTTCAACGCACTTTGCTGGGTCCGGATCTTGTTATCAATAATCTAGCACAGGAAATCCAAGAGACGCTACCCCTCGAGGAAAGACCAGTGAAGTAATTGATGAAGACATGTATAGCCAATCATACGATTCATGAATGAAATGGAACCGGGGGGGCGTTCAAGAAAAAGTGAAGAGAATTTTATCATTCGTACTTCTGAGATGGTCCTCATACGGTGCTTCAATTATGATCATTGGAAATAAAGGAATATATAGTATTGTAAATCTCATTGATTTACCGATAGCGATAGCATTCTTTATTTACATGTATTGATCAGTTGTCCTGGATGGTTATATTCTTTTAATTTTTCCTCTAATCAGGGAAAAAGGGCTGTAAGATTGATTTTTACTGCTGTTATAATTCATATCTCTAGTATACGCCAACGCAACACAGTCGTCTCCCAATTTTCGTGACAGGCGCACCGTACGATGCATCTTCCATTTTTCGTGACGCTAAAGATATATAAGCAACTCATATCCCATCGCCGAAAACTCATGTTGTCTTATGTTGTTAGTAAAGTTGTTATAAATTGCTCAATCCACGGAATAAGATTAAATAAACGATCTCCTTTGAAATCGAAATTAATACTTTCTTTGATCGTCGAAATATTAATAATTTGACCAGACATACCTGAAACGGCTCACTTAAGCTGTAAAGTTGTCCGTATCATCAAATACGCATAAGCGGAACGAGAGTTCATAATAATTATTAACGACGAATATTATTGAATTAGTTTTATTTGTTTACATCGAAGATAGCCCTGTTTAATTTATAAATAGATATTCCCCTGTATAAGAAGTTAGGAAGCGCGCATAAATTAGGTAATAATGGCGGTTAGCGTGAAGCTAAATCTGGTAACATCACCCGGTCGGAAACGCGAAAGATATTCGCTTTCCCAAACCCCAGACAATCCGACTGTGGCATTGCCTTTCATCTCACTTAACCTGTTGTTTGTCTGTAGCAGTGATAATTACAAGATTATTTACTTTGAACGACGTGAGATATTTTCCATCACAGGTTTCCGTGAATTTTGAGCGCGTTATGCATGCCATTGTATAGAGTTACATAAGCACTCTTAAATTATCATAGGTGTACAGGGGAGGTCATTATAAAAGGATAACTGGGCGCGTTTATTCCTAAAACTTCTTTGTTATTTACTCATTTGTTATAATATATTAAATTTACCACCGTTCAACGAAGCTTTGGTTAAACATTCTCGAACCGTCTAAACACTTTAACTTTTGTTTACCCATTTCCCTATGCCCGTGTCCTTTTTGACCGTATGAACTTGTACAACGTCTAATAGTAATAGTAATGTTAAATGTTTGCAGTACATTATAATCTATGAATTACAACCGATTAATTTAAGGGCGTAGAGTGTGTCTTAACATCATACGTTTCGTGAGTTAATATATAGCATTCCAGTTGGAGCTGCAAAAGTTCATATGCATAGCCTTCTCATATTTGTACTTTCTACTACATACAAGACACTCGAGAACAATGGCTACGGAGGAAACATCGATTTAACGGGTTATAACTTTAATCTCGTAACATACAAATAATTGATTGTAAAGCATATTCTGTCGATTATAACTAACACAAATGAAATGGACTAATTTGGTTATAAAAAGTTTCAGATTATTGACTATAACGAATATATGGTGCACAAACACTGCGATATTTCAAGCGATCCATTATTAAAACTGCGTATGGTTTAAAATCGACGTTAGTTAACATCAATCTCGAAAAACTACTACCACGGCTCCGCATCAACGTACATTATATATCAATTCTAATTTTCTAGACATCAAAATTTTTTACTAATTCGACGTGTATTGACTCTAGTCATGGGATGTATGATAAGTAGAAACATCATAATTCACTATCGAATAAACTCCAAGTTTATAATCACTAAGTTGTGGATGATGAAAGATGTTAACCAATTTCTGAACTTGGCAAACTGAAATCTGGTAGCGGAGGAAAATTATCACCAGTAGGTAAGAGCTTACTAGAGTATTTACTTTCCTTTTCGAGACGTGATAAGGGGAAAAAAATTTTTTTTCCGTTTAGGTCATTCCCCTACTTTTTTAAAGGTTAATTTTAGGTCTTTTTTATTGGTAAGTGCTTCAATCGAATATCAGCAATGTGATGGTATTTTTTAGTAGAGGCGTTGTGGGTGATGCATACATTCAATTTTTTACATCATTATTATAAACGGCATTCCACGTGTTGGCATCAGAATTGTCCTTGTCAATCTCGTCAATAAGCTTGCCAATATCATGCCAAAGTGAATATGCATCTGGACGTTTATCAGGATCAGCATAACAACACCGCTTGGCAAGTTTCTTGTATTCCTCTGGTGTGGAATCAGGCATCGATGGTCGTAGGCCGCCCATAATATCACATGCTAAGCCTCTATTGAACTGCCTATCTCTAAAAGGTGGTTCCCCAGTAGCAATCAAATACATAATGGTACCAAAAGAATACACATCTGATTTCTGAGTAAATTTGCAAATATCTATAACTACGAAAGATATCTGTGCTTTGTATATAAGCGTAAGTTCACATTGTCCTTAATAAAAAACCAAAACATCCCAAACTGGGATTGTTATACAGAAATGCTCTCGCTCAACTTCCAACTCGCAATGCTTGAACTTGTTTCGTGAATAAGTTAGCAACACGTAAATTGAAGATAACGATAAACATTTCAGGGAAACTGGCACGTGTTTCCTAGCGTAATAATCTTATGGAACATTTGTTCACAACAAGGTGCTCGCTAAAGCCCAGTTAAGCTGTTCTTATCTATCTACATACCTGAAAGAAAGCAATATAAGGCTATGGGGATGTGTACGGAACTTTTATACGGGACAAACGTCATGGCCAAAAAAAAAAATTATTACGAAAAGTAATTGTACCATGATAAGTCACAATGTTTAAAACATACAATAATACCTTCTCCATTAAGAATTTTTATCTTATCTTTGAAGATATTTTACGAACAAGATATGAATACAATCAATTTTATCTACAAAAAACATACCCAATTAGCTAGTCCTAATAGTAAATACTGCATCCTTGAAATTCATTGTTTTCCGTTTTTTTCCCAACCACTGAAATAATAATTGCTATTCACATTAAGGGCTCCTCAACAGCTTGATGCCCCGATCAAATTTGGAAATCGGTGATAAAATGGAAGTTATTTGGTAGGGCATCAAGGGGCATCCATAAATTGGAAATTGTTTATCTTTCATATAAACATAATTCAAACTTTTGCCTGACACCTCATGATCGATGTGATGTGACGAGAGCAGTACATGGGATGAGCATATATTATTTATTAACTTGAGTCAAGAAAATTTTTTGCATATTTCATTGCAATGCCCAAAAAAAACTCGGATCCTTTATTATACAAACACCCACAACGTAGCGGGTTTGATTGTGATAATAATGTCCAGAATGGCTTCAATAAATCGTTTAGTAAAATGCGCGACTGATCCTTGGCTAACACCAAACATTTAGAGGATTTGCTAATTGTTGAATCACAATGCCAACTTGAATTTCAGGGTGTGGATAAATAGTTAGGATATTGCTGTAGGATACTAAGCAGTCGATTGAACATAGATCAGCAAAATGCGAAAATGAGATTTAAAACTATTATACTCGCTCTCGTCATTAAGATATGGAAATATGTCTGTCCAATAAGCCATTGTTTTTGGCCAAAGTAAACGAGGTGTACGATTAATCCTTGACATCGAATCAAACAGAAATGCTAATTCTATATCAATTAATCTTGCATGTTTAGATTTTATTACTTCTGTTACTATGATGGCAATAAGTCTTTTCCGGCTGATAGATAACATCATCACTAACAGTATAACAGTTTCATACGGAAAGGCGTTATTCATGCGTATGCTTAATTGCAGTCACGTGTGAATTTTACTGCATAAAGGTAAATATGGTATTACTCTATTTAGAAAGCTGTTGAGCACTACTTTGTACGACTTCCTAATTTGATCGGGGCATCAAAGCCATTGAGAAGCGGAAGGCCCTAATACTAAGTTAGTCACTCATCACGTGCCATTAGTCACACTACTATAAAAGACTTTTACGAATTATTACAACGATGCAACAAAACATGGCTTCAAGTCACTTTGATAAAGAATGGTTAAGAAAAAATATCGAAGATGGAAGCATCCAGTATTATGCTTACTACGATTTTATTGAGTCGTTGTGCATCGGTATCGGAAGATATGGAGCAGTTTTCAAAGCGAAAGCCAAGACACTTGATAGAATGATCGCATACAAG